CTTGAAACTGCAGGTATATTCTCTCTCTCTCTCAATTCTATATATGCTTTATTTCGTGCACACATGATCTTGCATACACTAGTCACTTAATAACAACAGCAAAAAAATTTAATGGTGGGAAAAACCTTTAGAATCATTGTCAAACTGAACGTCATATTTTCTCTCTAACTCCTTGAGTGGTCCATTTAAGAATCCATTTTAGCTACTCTTCCAGATCAGCTTATCCATAAGAATCATATATTTCCCCATAGGTAGAAAACAAATACAATTTGTCACATGTTGTGCTACACAGACATTTCGGCACAGTTGCTGCACTACACTAGAATGTCTGAAGGGGAAGACACCCCAGGTAGTTGGCTGCAGACACATCTCGGCAACATGGCACGTAGTTACAATTTGACACATATAGTCTTTATAAATCCAATGTCTATGAAGTCAAACAAATCTCCTTCTTATTTATAGTAACAGGCAAGAGCAGAACTCTGCCGTCTTGTTACACAGATGGTTGTAACATTTTTATAGTTAACTTACAACCACTGATGCCTGAGGAATAGACACACATCTGCCCCAAACTGCCAGTCCTGTAGGCTTTTCTTTTTAACTTTAGCTACCAAAAATACAGTTGAAATATATGCAATGCTGTCACCCCCAAAAAGCTACCACAACAAAAAGCCCCATAAAAATTTGCATAAAATGTATTATTGTTAATGTTACACAGATTGGACAATGATCACACATATTACAGCAAAAATAACAGTAACAGCAACTCTAATCAACAAAACTGAAGATTTGGGGAAAATTCATATCCCCAGATCCCATATACTGAACTTAGTTTGAAAAAAAAACTCATTAGAAGCTTCTAAATTTATGTTCTAATTAAAAAGATTTCAAAAGAGCTTCATACTTCATACAAACTACTGTCCATATGCTTTTTTTTTTTTTTTGCTGCTTGATAAAAAGTAAAGGCATGCCTGGCTTATCTTGAAAAAGGAAAGCAATTGTCTAGGATTTTCTCCTACTTGAAGACACAACTCCATATTTGCTGTATTTCCACACATCATCTGGGTCTTTAACGGGAAATGTACAGAGAAATGAGCTAGCTATATTAAATTAAATGCTTCCCATTTTAGACACTGGCTGTCCGCAGAAGAAATTCTCTAAATAGATGACTCAAAATCAAATGCTTGCTCTACGAGAAGAAGAGTAGATGTAGAAAAGAAAAGCTGTAATTGAACTTCGTACTTGTAAAAGTTGTTAACTAAGTTCAGTGAAAGCTTAAATACCCTGACGAAATCCTCACCCATGACAGCTTGGGCAAATATTACTTATTCATAAATGTGTTCCATCAATAATAGAACTAGGCAGATTCTTGTCTTTTTCTTCTTGCTCCCCAAATTGGAAGACAACAGAGCCTGCAAGAAAGCGGATCTCCATTTACAGCACTGGTCCAACTACAGAAGTGAAAATGCATGCTTTGGAATTCGGTTTGAAAACAGATAAAGGAGAGAATGAATCAACATGATGCATAGTTACCCAGTTCATTTGATTATGGATTACCTTTCCTCTGGAATCTATTTATTTTTTTTGTGGAGTGGAGGACAGAAGAAAAATAAGTAGTTTAACCTTTTATTTTTGCTACATATCCTTTTTATTCTTGGTTAGTTTTTTATCTTTATAGCTGCCTTATAAGAAGTTCCTTACTCTCTGCTATCTGTTAATTTCTACTATGAACGCATACTACAGGATGGGAAATTGAAGAATTTAATAACAAAATTCGCTTTCAGGTTGAAAATTTACCAGTGTGCTCTTTGCCACGTAACAGACAAGAATTAATTTCTCCAAGATTCAGATCCATAAAGTCACACACACCGACCAGCTCACTTCTACTGACACATCAGTGGCCCTATGTCACATTAACTAATACTTTTGAGATAATCTACTTGGCTAAATAATTCACTAAAATGAAAAGTACCTAGGTGCAAAAACTATTAAAAAAAGAACAAACTAACGTTAAAGAAGATAAATCATACATGAACGTAAACCAAAGATCTACAGGGTTGCTAGATTAACAAAATTCAAAGAACATCTCTTCATAAGCTCCGCTGCAGTCTTAATGTGTCACCCTAGTCCTGCAAACTGTACATCTTTCAATTCAAGTTTGCCCCAACAGCATGAACCAACTATCATTTAAGATCAGCATCTGCTCCTTTCAATGCTGTATTTCACTGAGCAAAACCATACTGAAAGGAACAGATATCTGCATTACATTGAAAAGGCTGATTCAAAACAATCTTTGATGATTGCAATTTAAAGTAATCTCTTTCTTTAAAACCTGCTTATATAATTTTGGACTATATTCATTTGCAGCACATATTCAGACAGAAAGATAGGAATGGCAGAGAAAGAGTTATCTTGTTCACTTTCAGGAATGTAACTATCATAATTGCCAAAATATTGTTTCTCCAAAAGAAATTCCGACTGATCAATTACATCTTGCTCCTTCCACAAAACAGTTCTACTGGGCCCTGTCATATTCTCCTAGGAGAACACAAGTAAGGACAGAGATTTCTTCTTAAAACAAATACCACAGTTCCTTATTATTCAAATGCAAATGTTATGTCCCAAATAAAGTCAAAGTCATTTTGATACAAAATACTTTCTAAAGAGAGCCAGAAAAACAACAGCTAGAAAATTAGGTAGGAACTCACTTCGCAGGATTGTGTTGCAAAAAGACCAGTGCTATTTGTAGCTGCGTACAAAGGGGAAACATATTGTGTTACAAAGTAATCATCCTTAACATTATTTTGCTGTGATTATTTGCTGAGTGATGGATGAAAATCTGAGGCAAAACACATTATTCTTCTTTGTTCTTCTGACTTTACTGAATAGCATAGTCAGATCTCTATTTTCAAAATCAGAAGAGAGAAATCACTATTTTTACTTGGTGGAAGTCCTTCAACATAAATATAAGAAACAGGGAGAATTATTTGTTGTAGTAATTATACTTTCCGCTTTTCTTCACCTAGATCGAAAGACTTCATAGCCAATTTATAGCATTTGCGAACTGATACTCAAAATGTATTACAGTTTTCACATGGAAACTAAAATTAGATTGCACTGAATTTTTAAAGCAGTTTATTTTATCAGCCTTGACACTTATTACTTGGATTTCAAATGAATATAATGCAAGTTCATCATTAAAAATATATTAAAAGAGTCTCCTCTTAAAATGGTGGTAAAGTATACTGTTCGTGATTCAAATATCTGACAATCTCTGTGCATTTATATATTCTAAAATATTAAATAAGACAAATGCTATCATTGTCCTGTTTTCTCTCCTTGTTGTGAGCAAAACAGCAGCAGAAGGTAAGGCACTGCCTGCAGCATGACCACTCTGCTTTCAAACCGCTTCTCTGTTCTGGATTAATACTTTCAGTCTCTTTTAGAGTATAATCATTGCTGCTGCAGCAGAGAATGAGCAACATTTTCCAGTAGATTTATTTGGTTCTGACAGAGGAAAGGTTGTCCTAAAAACTTGCAAAGCAGTCTTACATTCAATTAGATTCTAATAATTCTACGAAAGAACAGGTAGGAAGGCGAAAAAACAATAAAAAAAAATATTTTTTTTCCTGAAAGTAACCCTAATGCCTCAGTGCATTTCCCCCATATTCTAAAAATCCATCACAAGTAAAGAAACCTAAAGGAATGTCAGATAAATGGAAAGATTATGAGGCCAAATAGATTAGCGACACAGTTGTAGCATTTTTCTTTCTTTCTTTGTTCTCTGAGCTATAAAAGATGATGACAATACTGGGTTACAGAACAACAGGATGAAGTACAGACAGAAATCTGAAAAGGAAGAGGAATGAAGAGGGTTTGGACAACTGAAAAGAATGCATGGAGAGCTTGCAAGAAACAAGTTGATGCGTACAGAGAGAGAATGAAGGGATGGCAGACAAAAAAAAAAAATCAACAGTTGAGAAAAAAAAAGAAAAAGAACATACAAGACCGGCTGCTTCAATACATGCAAGTTCTGTTCTTATCAGGTGATCAGTGGTCAAAAAAAGGAAATAGAATTTTTCCCAGCCAGCACCATCTAGTCTAAATGAAGTTAAACTGCATTTTGTCTTTCACTACTGACAAGGGGTAGCCTGGCTGATTGTGTTGGTCTCTCAGCCATCTCACTACCATCCTCTACCTCATCAACTATGCCTAAGCTCTTTCCAGCACCTGCTACACTGAAGTGGAGTGGAAAACAGAAGAAGAAAGCATAGATGAACTTTCTGATACCAAAAAGAAGTCTCCACAGTGATCTTTAAAGGACATCTAATCCAAATTGCAGCACAAGGTATCATCAGTCTGAACACTCTGACCAGAACAGTCAATTGGTATTGGAGGAAACATTCCATAGTAGTCTTGCTGTAGCTGCTCCCAGCTCTGAGGAAGTCACTGCTTCTCACTGCTTCTCTAAAAAGGCTAGTGGTGCCTGGAAGCTGTTAATAGTTCTCTGGTTACTAAAATCTTCAGTAAGATTTGTCTGTTTATACAAGTTAAATATTACAGAGAAAGGTAAGATGGTAAACCCCCAAAATACACCTATTACATGGCATTATGGAAGCCACATCTGTACTCTATGAATAACCTCCTCTCACCTTCATCTCCCCCCCCCCAACTTTTTTTTTTTTTTTTTTAATATGATAAGACAATTCATCCAAGTTAGAGCAGAGAACAGCCGAAGCAGCCCACACACATATGTACTAGGCTTAAATTCTTTGGAAGACTATGTTGTTCAAGCCTTCCTTTTATTTATCCAAAATGGCACAAGCAAAAGATGTTATAAAAAAAAAACTTGACAGAATGTTTGGGAAGGGGGAAGGGGTGGTCATTTTCATAAGGAAAGATTATTACTTTCAAACAACCTAGTGTCATTTTTATGTTTACACAACACAACAGGTACAGCAGAGCATACCACATACTGACAGATTAATAGGACCTCCTACCTCGATTTCATCCTCTCATGCATTCTCCCATGCTGGATACATTGTTGGTCCAATTCATCATTCCGTTTCTGCATCTTCTCCAATCTGCCATGAAGATACTCTTTTTCCTGACTAAGCTGGTTGACTTCAGATCTACAGAAGTAAAACACAGTGATGATGGATGTTGTCAGATTTCATCCTGCAGCGTGCCATCAATATGTGGCTTCAGCATTTATAAAATTTCATACATGTATATGTAATGCATAAACAGGCTATTACTAGAACTTACAGAAACAAGACACTGTTTCAAATAATCTTAAGACAAAAGAACATGATGCTGAAGGGTATCTGGTAAATATGCCAATGGCAATCACTCAGTCATAGGTTGGCTATGCTAATTTCAGCCTAATTTAAACAGACATGTCATTTGGCATTATGCGTTGACGTTAAATAAGATCAATAAATGTAAATTCATACTTGTTAAGCAAGAATTTTGCCAGCATTTTGAAAATGTATTTCAAGTTCTTTATTAGTAAAAGCTAACATCTAATTTAAAAAATGGCTACTAAAAACTTGTTCAATCTTTACTACACTGTACAGGTTGAACTCTCAAGCAGTGGTACTGTTTTAGAAACTTTATTAACCTAATATGCCGAAAATACCATTACACAGATTAAAAAAAACCCAAACACACACATTAAAAGGAAAATGAATAAAACCTTAAGAAACAAGGGACAAATCAAACAGGCACAGCCTAATCCACATAAAACTCGGCACAGCCTTTAAGAAAATCAGTCACTTCTAGCAATTCTTATTCTTCACAAGTGAGCAGAGACACCAGATCCATGAATGACCTGGGACTGCTACTTGCTACATCTCTAACCATCAGCCCATGGAGAAACAGGCATGAGCTGTTTCTTAATATCAGGAAAAGATCTCAGATTAAATTGTGATAAAATATACATTATGCACTTGTTCAGTTTAACTCTTTGGAAAAGGTTAATGAGAACATGTCAGAATCTGCTATACCATCAGAAAGTAAAAATCAAAAGCAAGCAAATTTGTTTTATGGCATCTGCCACTCCAGATCTTGAGGTTAAAAAGCTTCAGAGATATCTTTAAATCATAAACTTAAATATGCTGCAGTTACAGTAGAAAGATACTTTACCTTCCTGGCTGTTACAGAATGCAACAACAACTGACATTCTGAAAAATACAACAAAGTGCAGGGGGGAAGAAATACTCCTCCCTCAAAAACATGTTGTTACACTGACAAGTCAAATCTGGAAATGACAACATAATCTTTTCATGTTTAAATAGAGAACAATACATGATATCGTCTGTGAATCTAAAAGAACTTAGCAAGGGAGACTTTGGAAGAAGACTCTTTGTAATTGAATTTAGATAGGGAGTTACAGCTCTATTAAGAAACATCACTGACAAATACATCAGAATTTTTTTGATGTTTTTCTACATCAAACTTAAATGCAAAGAGTTTCCTGGATAGGTGCGTTACAGTGGGCAGGATGTTATAAGAAGGTAATGAAGTAGAATTTTCACACTGATCATTTAACAGAAATACTAGTAACTTAAATGTCAGCATTAACAAAGCATTGCCAGTTGGACCAATTGTTATCACACAGTATGAATGCAGTCTGTACCTGGTAACGATATTGTAAAAAAGACAATCGGTGGGTAAAAGCAAAGGTCCACTGCAGAGCAGCTCGACAGAGACCTGATGTAACAAAGCCCAATCAAGTGGTAACAGGGACTAAACCCAAGACTGCATTCCTTTTTTGCCAGCAAAATGCAACAACAGCATTCACCATGTGGGAATACTCTAAATTATCATGTTTGTAGGGTTTCACAACTGGAGGATTCTGCTTCTTTTTCTGTATTATATGTGGCTGTCTCATTTGTGGAAACAGCAGAAGTAACTTTCGAGGTAATAAAAATCTCAAAGTTTTAAAGAAACTTATTAATCTCCAGCACATTTGAAGGTGCCTGAAGTCTTTCTGGAAAGATGAAGGGATTCAGATTAACCAAACCCAATGGTTTTTAGTTGCTAATGAAAATTACAGTTAATGAAACAAAAGAAAGTACTGAATTCCTCGAAAACACAAGTAGCATGATCTCTAATCTCTAAAATACAGCTCTAAAAGCCTAAGGCTTTGAACCACATTACTTGTGTTCTCTTCTCCTAAAACACCTCTTTCGCAATTAGAGTTGAAGTCAGCAAAAAAAAATAAAATTCATTCTAGTAAAAATATTGTTTACGCAATGTTCCTTCCAAGATCAATGTTAAAAGGTTCACATGTGTCGGCATTAAAGAAAGAACACCGGTCCCAATACAAGACTGCACACCAAGAGTCTTCATCATCACCTGACAAAGATTCCCTCTGCATCTTTAAATATATCACTCATCCACCTCAGTTTCCAAAGACAGAACAGTTAATTCTACGTGATGTTTAAATAACTTCAAAATTGTTGGGTTAAAACACACAGTCCAACTGTAATAATTCTGAACAACTGTACTGAACATGATAGCACATTTATACTAGCAGTAGCAATTCCACCCAGCCAGTGGCAGGACCGGGTCTGCCTAAATGCTTCTGAATCACTCTGCTTCCAATCTGTCACAGCAAGGGCAGGAGAGAGAGGGGGAAAGGTGCCAAAGTACACAGCCCTGAACTTCAGAGATACCCCACGTGTAACACCAGGGACAGAGGTAAATTAGAAAAATCTATGCACTAAGCACTATGTCTAATGGATTCAGGACAACAAAAGGACGCAGCACAGACATGCTGATGTTGCTCCACAAGAGCTACTCTGAGTCCAGCAGACCGAGTAGTAAGCCGTGGTGGACTTCGAAGAAACTGAAGCGCACAGACATTTGGAATGTCTCCATGTGAGCTGAACTCTGCATGGAGTTGCACTTCTGCAGACTCAGGCTGGCCCCACAGGTCATACAGTCATGTTAATGTATCTGTGTTTGCTTCTGAGATCTGATAGACTCAAAAGACCTGTGTGAAATCAATATTATTTCAAAACTGCACAGAGCAAAGCTACAACATCAATCATGTGGAAGTGAAAATATAAAATGCCTGCTTGTAAGTAGATAGGCAATAGATTTTGCCAAATCTCATTTACCTGTCACTATATTAAAAATAATTGATGATGACTGGGGAGAGGATAGGGACAATAACAAAAACAACACCCCTATACTTCCAGATTCATTCAAATACCAAGAAAGTCCCAATTTCTATGTAAAAACAAATTTAAGTTTTTATCTACCATCCTTGCTGGAAAAATCTTGGAAAAAAAAACAAACAAACAGGTTCTTTCAAACATTGAAATACTGGAGGCAAAGCACCAGCAAATGTTAAATAGTCACAGTTCAAAGTCAGTCTTAGAGTATTTTTAGAATAAGTTGAATTTTGAACACTAAGGTGGCAATGCAGCCTATACTCTGAACTACCTTTTTGCATTGCAGCGCTTTTTAAGCACTGCCTTTACCTACTCTTAAAAGCAATCGTTTACCTGTACAGCAATTAAATACATGCTCTAAAATATTTTCTGCTGACACGGTATTGTTGCATATAATTTTAATGACTGATGCTTCAGACAGACTGTTTCACATCTTCGTACGGCTACCTTCAACAAACATTTCATTCCTGGTATTGAGCACGACTGCAGTCAACCAAACATGCAGAAAAATAGTTCAGCCGGGTGTGTGTTCTTTACTTCAATTAAACTCACACAGTTGGATGCCTACTGTTGCCAAACCAGTAATATAATTTATACATTATAGTCTAAACAGTAAAACTACACTAAAAGTCATTTAACAATATTTATAACACCATAAAATACAGTGTTAAAATATATGAACTGCAATATGTACCAAAATTATAAAATTTGTTTCTCATCATCAGTGATTAAAACCAGGATCATTGCTCTAGCTTCAATACTCACAACCCTGGTGACAGATTAGAATTCAAATCTTAATGATCAATTTACAATTAACAAGATAGAAGTGAAACAAATTAAACCAACCATTATATATAACGAGACCCAACGGACTCCCATTGTTCCCCTTAATTACAAAACGCAAATCACAAATACACAGTGGGTAGTGTTAAGCATTAATCTACAACCTAGAAACTCAGACAGTGACAATCAGAGAAAAAACACGAACAAAATAACAGAGAAGAAATCAACAAAGGACTATATTTTTTAACATGCCTTCACAGACACTATATTCTTTCTGCACAGCTTGAGGGGGTTGTAATTTGTCTGACATTGTCTTTCTGAAGCTTTTCTAATCCTGTGTAGGGGTTAGCTCACAAAAATGGTTCCAGCTTATATACAAACAAGAAAACTTCAGTTTAGATTTCTCAGAAAACCTGTATTCAACATAAAAGTATACCTGCAATTCAGAAGGGTCTAACTTAGATTGTGCAAATATATAGTTGTCACAGATAAATTTGAAATGCCTCTTATTATACAAATGGGCCCATTACTTCCTATCAAAACCTAAAAAAAAAATATATAGAAACTTACTCTTGCATCTGTTATTAAAAAAGCTTGAGTGTTTCACTAATTAAATAATGGTACTTTCTAGTATACAGTTATTTCTTAACTCCATGGAAACTAAGGCACACAGATTCTAGAAGTCTAGTAAGAAAATACACATACAGGTCCAAAATTCAGTTTATAAGGCCACTACATGAAAACCATGGAAAAAATCTTTTCCAAGCAAATAGGGCACACTGTTGCTTCATGATCTGCTTTTATTAATGTGTATTAGAGCTAAGTTATAAAACATTCCAAAAATAATTACTTTTTTTCAGAAGACAAAACTACAGCATTCTGTCCCAGAATTCTGGTTTTACACTCTATCCAGTGACAAGGAGCATGAAGATTGTATTTCAGAAAGATGCTACTGGAAGACATAGACTGATCACACGTTAAACTTTGCCAAAGTAATTGTGCGCATCTGATCTCCTAATCACATAACTTTTTGAAGCCATCTATTAGTCTACCATTTGCCACCATCTGCAGTTCCACCTTTCTGTTTTCATTTTCACATGCTTTCTTTGTCTTTACCTATTTCTTCACTCTTGTTACTGACTGCAGCAGCTCCCACTCCAGCGAAGGCAAGCTCAAGCTATTTTAGGGCCACTTCTCAGAACTGATTTCAAACGTTCTTCCATACTATTTCTTTCGGAAAATATACCACTTTCTGGAGATCCAAGAGGGCTCCTTTTTCAGGTTCTTGACATAGTCAGCTAATGCTGCTAGGTGGAGAAACACTTGGCAATCTCTGGTATTTATTTTCGAAGAATAATGTGTTTTCACAGTATGTTTTCTGTCTTTCCTTCATCCTTTTACAGTTACTAGTCTGTGACTGTGAGCTCTAGCAACAAAGTCTGTGTGCATTTTTATTGCTGGAATAATAATATGATTTGAATCTATTTAGATTTTGTATTACTTTAGCAGAGGAGCTCTGCTTTTGCAGAAGGAAAAATTCTCTTTGCTTCTCTTTCAAGTACCCATCACAACATTTGCAAGGGAAGATTGCTTACATTTCCTCAAGTTTCTCATTTCTTCCCAAACACTAGATGAGATTAATCTCTCAACTTCAGCCACTTAACAGCTAGTCAACACTTTATATTCAGTGAAAAGTAGGATGGGCAGTGGAGGCAGTCCCTGTGGGAAGCATAATTTTTTCTTTCTCTCTCTCTCTCTCCCCCTCTGTGTCATCTACTTATATCACCTTTGACCATTCCTGGAAACAGGATACTGGGACAAATGAGCTCTCTCTCTGAATGAACGTTGCCCCTGTTACGATACCTCAACAGGAGTATTAAATCTACCCAGTGGCAGAAGAACCCTATCTCGAAAACCAATTTTCTCTTTGCTGAGTGTTTTCCTTACTTCACATAAGCCATGTGAGATGAATCCTACCTTTGATTACCAAATTAACTTTGCATGAAATTTACAGAAGTTGCAGAATGCCAACAGACCACTTAAGCCCTATTTACTACTCCAAATATGAACTGTGCAGAAAGGTTAAATAAAGAGACTATTTTCACACTTTGTACAAAAATACAAAATTCCTACTTTTTGTTTAAAAAAAAGATAGTCCTGTCCTACAGAACTTCTAAATAAACACCTTCATACTTTTATATTTACTTAAACCAGTTACTGCTTCCAAGTTTTGTTCTATTCCTGAATTTAGACCTGCTATTAATTTTAACAAGAGCACCACATAACAAGTGGCAGCAGAATCAGGGCTTCAATGACAAGAAATTTTGATGACAATTATTTCAGAGATAATTATTCAGTGTGTAGTATTGTGAAGGAAGCTTTGAGTAAACAATTAAACCAACAGATTACAGTTTTGAGAACTTTAAATATTTAGTATTTTTTATATAATTGCAGATAAACTCAAATTGTAGCTCTGTTAACAATTTCTACTTTTCATTTTAAGAATATGAACATCAGGAAGAAAATAGTATGCGTTTTTTACATTGCAGTTGACTAAGAAATTTGAAGTAATATCCAGAAACAGAATCTGAAAAGTGGAAAATTAGAACTACTCTGAATAAAAATCCATCCATGTTTCTTAAGTGGCACATATTACACTCAGATGATGTGTAATACCTGGGACAAGATATATGAAGAATAATAAATATTAAAATAAAAATGAAAAATAAGGAAGCACGTCCTAACAATAAAAGGAATAGGATAAGAAAAATATACTAACCTGTATTTTTCTGACATTTGTTCCAATTTCCTTGCCAACATACAACATTCTTCCTTTAATTTTGCTATGAATGCATTCTGGGAGGTCAGCAATGAATCCAATTCATTTACTAAAAATTATAAAATTAGAAATTTATTTTACAAATATATAAATTCATAGATAATTCAGAAACAATTTCATACACTATTAATCTCTTTCCACTAGATCCTTCTGGTTTTGGAATGTTATTAAAATTCAGCTACTTGGACATGGAATTATGAATCATCATTCACCAAATAAAGGCTCTATGTCAGAATAAGCTAATCTAAAGTGATGTTGCCACTGAATCAGGTTTTATGTATGAAAAGAATCACCATAAAGACTACATACCTAATCTGGTGGTTTTACTTTTAGTTGGAAGTTCATTGACATTTATGGGAGGAATAAAATTGGGAAGCCATGCCTGAGTAGCCTTTTGCTTGCTCAACTGGTGCAGAGGATACGCTGGCAACCCAAACACTCACACTCTAGACTCATTTCATTCTCTTTAAAAAAGCAGTTCTTCTATTTACTGTGTCCTGCGCTTACTGAGATTAATGTATTTTTTTCTCTTGAATGATAAGACGTAGACTTATTGTCCAGTCACAGTTGCAGTGAAACCATTTTATAAATTAATTTTCACTTACTATCAGCCTAGGCTGCACCAAAACTCGTGACCTAGAAATCAAGTGACTTTATTCTTTCAAAAGGAAGACACTGCAAAATGATGTTTCTTGATTTCTGCTTTTAAAATCAGAGAAAGAGAGACCACTGTTACCTAAATTCCTTGTATGTGTGTAGGGTCATAATACACAAGAGTTTCTTTATATGCATAATAAATTACTATCATTTTCAACTTTTTCTAATCCTACTAGACATACATAAAACTGAATTCAGCCTTAACGTTGTTTCATTTTTGTTTACTGGGACAATTTATGCACCAGGAGGGTAAATTACACATCTCTTGTGCAAAATTACACTTGGTCATATGCAGATATGCTGGCTACAGTAGATTCTGAGAGCTTCTTTTCTTTTCCTGCTGTGTAGACAGCAGCCATAACGTAGCTGTTTGCATTCCCTGAACACATGGAAAGGTCCTCTAGTACTGTGATAATGCAGCAAAAAAGGCAGAACATCAGATGGCAGATGTAAATGTTCCTGTTACCTCAGATATTATCGGACACTGTTCAGGATTAATACAGGCTACATAATTTTTCTAAAGGTACTGCAGGACTGGTGGGTAAAAATTGTATTTTATTAAGCATATGAATATACTGTACTCCATAAGAGATGAAGCTCCTCCTCCCTTCCATGCTCAGAGATTAGAGAATTCCTCTCTAAAAATTTCTTTTTTTTGTTTCTAATACGCATGTTTATTAGTGTTGTTGGCATAGTACTTCACAATAACAAAAAGCTTTCTTTTTTTTCTTTGAAAATTCATTTTACTTCCCAGTTAAAGGTTAGAAGTTATTGATCAGCTAAGTCAATGCAATGAAGTCTCCTATTATGAGAACCTGAAGTATGCAAGAGATTAAACATCTTTCTTCTAGATTGAGGGTGTGTGTGGGGGGTACATGGTAATGCTAAAAATGTTTGAGGCTGCAAAGATTAAATAAAGGAACATATCAATTTGGAGCCAGTGAATTACATCCAGCTGCGACAGTGAATTAAGAACCGATTAATGGCTAAAGCTTTTCTCCAGTTTGGATGCCGAAGCAAACTCATTAAGCTTTTAGAGTAGCTATAATGTCTGTACTGTGGGAACTGTTCAATGCTATTCAGGAGACTTTAACTGTAAGCTCAGAGCATTTCCCGCAGAGCTTCTGATGCTATTTTCTTTATATAACATGTGTGCCTGAAAATCCAGCCAAAAACAAGCCCTTTGTTTTTCTACTTTGTTGTGGTCTCTCTCAGCTTTACGTTTCTTGAACACAGGTAAATAAACTCATAATCCAGATGGTGCAACAGATGTGAGAGCAGCACTCTGAAATCAACAGACAGTGGGCAATACTTTCCATTTTCTCTTTTAAACGCTAACTAATATGTAATTCGGAATCTCCGGTGTAGTTAGCATCTGCTCCCTTCGGCCAGCCAAAGGTTACAGGTGTTCCTGATGTCATTTCACAGTAAGG